CTTCCAACGTAATGGCTCGACTGAAAAAGTGAGCTCTGCGCTTCAGTACCTTGCAGAGCGCGCCCGCGGATACAGCCAAATACAGTGAATCTCCAGCGAGTGGAGGGCAGACCGCGTGCTTCAGCCTGAGGTTACACAGGCCCCGCCCCTTACTTCCTGGGGCACCCCCCTCTCTGCAGGCCTCCCAGATGGCTGGTGAATATTCTTTTTCTTTCATTGCTGCAGGGCTGGCTTGGCATCCGTGATGTTGAAAGAATAGCCAGTAGGACATGTGGTGGGTGATATTTGCTTGGCACTTACCATTGGAGACAATCATGAGAAAATGGGAGCCGTTAGCAGCAGGGAGAAGGAGTTCTTTATTTGCGGAGGGCATCTGGAGCCAGCGGATGTGAAGCTGGCCTGTACTGCTTCGTATGAAATGCCATAGGGCATATCTGAGCCTTTACCCCGACCCTGTCTGATGGGCTCACCACACGCACATTTGAGAGAATTAAGTTGTCAGGAAGGGGGAAGTCGTGCCTCACTGTTTTTGCCCAAGGCTTAGTCCTACACACGTGAAGCAGGTGCTCTGGGAGTTCAGGGCCCAGGATGGCAGTGGGGCATTGCCAGGGGAGGAGCCTCTTTTAAGGGGAACGTTGGAGGCTGGGGGAGGGTAACGAGGATGCTTGGGAATCAACAAATGTGATTCTGCTCAGAACTCGGTCCCTAACAGCCGTTTGACCTCACCTAAGTGGCTTCTTTGGGGGTCTCAGTTTCCTCATCCCTAATGAAGAGTTTTGCTGCCAGGATTTTAATGTTCTGTTTGAGAAATAAAGCTCCTTTGAGACCCCACTGAGAGCGATGGGTTCTTGCCACAGAAATTGTGCATGTTGCAGGCAGGCAAAATTTCACATCGAATCTTCAGGGGCTGATGGACCCTAGATTAAGAAGAACCCCTCCAGCCCTGGCTGGTGTTTCTCAGTGGTTAGACCATCAGCCCAAGCACCAGAGGGTCACCAGTTCGATTCCCGGTCAAGGGCACATCCCTGCGTTGCAGGTTTGATCCCCAACCCAGGTTGGGGGGGCGTGCAGGAGGCAACCAATCAATGTGTGTGTCTCTCTCTCTCCCTCCCCCCCTCTCCCCCCCTCCCCACCTCCACTCTGTCCAAAAAGAAAAAAAAGTCAATGGGAAAAATATTCTTGGGTAAGAATTAACAAACAAAAAGAAGAACCCCTACAGTAGATGATATTTCAGCTTTGGTGTTTCGCGGTCTGTAACATTTCATTCCAAAACTCTGGCCCGGGAGGAACCTGGCAAGTCCCGCCGTGAGAGTGACTCCTCTGAAACATGCGGGCGGAGTGTGTTTCCTCAGAGTCCATAACCTCTTGAGGTGTGTGTTCCAAGTAAGAGACAGACTAAATTTAAAGCATGTGTCAGATCATGTCAGTTCATGTTAAAAACTGTGAGAATACTGATAAGAGACTATAACATAGAGAACGGGGTGGCTGATGTAGTTTAGTTAGGGCCGAGTTCCCTTCTCTGAGAAGACATTTGGAAAAATACCTGAATAAGAGAAGAAATGAGCCACGCATAGGGTGAGATTGTTCCCGGCAGAGGGCTTGGCACAATTGAGGAGCAGTAGGAGGGCCGGTGTGGCTGGGCCTGACTGAGGGAAGGGGGTGGAGGGGCAGTGGAAGGAGATAGGTCCAGGGGCTGTCAAAATTCTGGTGGGGGTAGTTTTCTGTTCCCACATGAAAATCAGTTGTTTATATCTTAGTGGTATCTCATAATAATGGTTATTCATTAAGCCACCCATTCATTTGGTAAATTTTGTTCGTTACCCACGATGTTCCAGGAGACAGTGAGCTAGTTGAGTAAGACAGTGGTCTGGTGTGTCTTTCAGAAGATAAAGTTTGACAGCACCAACCAAGACCAGAATCTACCTCCAGGATATGAGGTCCAGGCCACTACTTGGTTTTGGTTCAAAAACTTCCCAGGTGGTTCTTTTTTTTACTGATTTTAGAGAGAGGAAGAGGGAGAGAAACATCGATCGGCTGCTTTTTGCATACCCCCTCCTAGAGAGTGAGTCTGCAACCTGGGCATGTACCCTGACCTGGAATCGAACCAGCGGCCCCTTGGTGCATGGGACATGCTCAATCCACTGAGCAACACCAGCTGGGCTCCCAGGTGGTTCTGATATGCAATTGCTGGACCTGCCTTGGGAGTACTATTTGAATACGATAGTCCATCTGCAGAGAGCGTATGGTGAAATGCCCGAATTATTGCATGTACATGGGAAAATAGGACTTGTTTCATAAGAAGCACAAAACTTGCTAAAGTGGGCTTCAGAAGAGGAAGTGAGTAGTTTCCATTGGAGAGGTCAGGGAGGCCCAAGGAACAACTAAGCTATTTCCTCACCCATGAAGTGGGGAAGATCTCAGAACCTACAATGTTGAAAAGGCAAAGTGAGTAAGTGCCTAAGAGATTTCCAAATAGGGCCTGGTACCATAGTAAGCGCTCAGTACATGTGACCAGTCATTTCAGCGGATTCTTAAAGAATGGTGAGAATTTCTGAACTATAGTGTGCTATCTATATAGTTTGTCATTTGAGAAGAGTTTTTTTAAACAAAGCTTCCACGTAAAGGCCATTTATTGAAATAGCTATTACACAAATATCTGGTGGTTAGCTTGATGTCTTAGTTAACAAGGCAACCCAAATTTTCCAAATAAATCCATCTATATGACTTGTACAGGAAACGTACTGTTCCTGACATTAATTGGTGCTTAATCCAATACCTGTGAACCTTCTTCATTGTACCTATTTATTGGACTAGCTTTTAAGGAACACCAGAGGGCCAGTCCTCGGTGCCCAAGGCTGGAACAGGAGCTTACAGTCTGGAAGGGGAAATAAGGACACATGAAATCACAGACACCACAATCAGTTGAGTCTTCATTACCTTGGTACCACCTAGGAAGTAGACTGGATGTACATCTGCCTACAACATCTGGATCCCATTTCAGTTGGCATGTCTGTTTTAAAAGGAAATACCCAGATGTGTCATGTGACTAGCCAATTCATCCTAAGTAGTTTAGAGAGTGTCTGAATCATTTTGCTTATGTTGAAGCTTGCAAGTGGGAGGGCTGAGAACCCCGGCCCCAGGGCTGGATTTAGGAAAACCCAGGAGGAAGGCTCTGTAAGGCAGCGTGCTTTCCGGAAGGCAGTGTCTCCGAGATGGCTTGCAGAGTCCTCCCGCTCCGCAGGCTTGCATGTAAAGCTCGGGAGGTAGATCAAGGCAGGATGCCTGGGCTTTCATTGACCCCGGAATTTTGACTGCCAGAACCGAAAAAAGATCAATCTGCTATTTAGAGAATATTCCCTGGCGGTTCAAAGGATAATTGCTTGATTCCAAGAAAAAGGCGCGGCTGATAGTTAGCATGAGCTTTGTAGATTGCCCACAGTGGTTGTGGGTGGGCCCGTTGGTTTGAAAAGGCCCCCTGCCTCTTCTCTTGGTGGAGTGGCCGGGTGTGTGGGTTGGAATAAAAGATGGAAAGTTGAGCCCTGGGCGCAGTGGGAGTCTAATCAAGAGAAAAGTTTCCTGTGGATCAGGCCCAGACCCTGCTGGCGGGGAGGCCTCTCTATTTCCTGCCTGAAATGCACCAGGGGTGTGCACAGGCCGCTGTGGTACAGCCGCTTCCCTGGGGGGCCTCCTGCTCAGAGCCCTCTCGCCTGGATGGGTTGTTTGTTTCACACAGAAGCCTGGGCCACCTGAAAAACAGCAAGAGTGTAGCAAAACGGAGCCAGAGCTGCTGACCTCTAGGTTTCTCCCTCTCTGGCTGGGAAAGCTGCTTGTGGCTTTTTGCCTTTGTGCCTTTTCTGAAGCCTTTCAAGATGTGAGAAACTGGAGACCTGGGAGGCAGAGCTGGGCTTTCGTTTGGGTTTTCCCCTCGCATTAGAACCTTTTCCAAGTCGCCTTCCGGGAGGAATAAGCTTTCATTGCGAATACCTCCTCCCTCCCCACACTCCAAGAAGTATAACACCAATGAAATGAGTGTCCACAATTGCAGTCATTCGAATCCTCGCATCATAAACACATTCTCCTCCTAAGCGACGGGCAGGGAGCTGGGGAATGCCCCCCTTCTTACTGTGGCCGGGGCAGAGGCCCTTTGGGACCATCAGAGAGGCTGGAGGTTGATGGTTGATGAACAAACCTACAACCAGGGTCTGTTTGCACCCCCACCGCCCTCTGCTTTTAGGGAACTAATTCCTGCTTGCGTGTTGCTTGTTGCTCTTTGGATGTTAACCTGGGGCTCTCTGCTGGCTCCCAGTGAGCTCCGTGCAGGCGTGTGGACGGATGAGGTGGGACCCAGCGTCTGTCCTGGTGGTGGGAAGTGGTTTGGGGGTTAAGTGATCGGGTGCCAGTGGGTAGACCGTTGGTGAACACCTTCACCAAAGGGAAGTGGCATTGTTTTACACCTGAGTGGAGGTAGGTTATCTGATCCAACGGTTCCTGCCTTCAATTTTGGAGTTGTCTCTTCTGCCTCCATGTGGGTGACATGCACCGTCAGTGTCTAAGTTTGCACCGTGGTTCTCACTGCAGAGGGTCTGAGGAAAGCCCTCACCACGGCTCTGTCGACCCCGCCACGGCCGCCACTGCCTCCGGTATGGCTGGTCTCAAGCTTTGCTGTGGGGGTTCTGTTCCCTTATAGCTCGTTCCCTTATAGCTCGTTCCCTTGTAGCTCCTCAGATGCCAGCCCCTCCTTCTCCTCTTCCTCTCCTGTCAGTTCAGTGGGCATTGGTTGCTCATCCTCCTTTCACAGCTGTGCCCCTTGTCAATGTGAAGGCGACAGATGAACAGGACACTGGGGGGTGGCATGTGGGAGAGGCCCTGTCTGTCCCTGGCCACTGGCTGAGAAGGTCACGCAGCACAGAGGACCAGAATGGATGCCTTGAATCAGTGTTCCCACCCCACTTTGTTGCTGTCGCCGCTGTGGCCAACTCCCAATCTCCTCTTACCAACAGGAAGCCAGTGACCAGACGAAAGATTTCATATCCTTCTGGCTGGACCTGGCTGGACCGTGCATCACCAGAAAGTCTTCCGAAGGAAGTGGCATAATCTGGACATGGGGTGTGGGAACATGTGCAGGTCATGGAGCCGGGAAGTCCTGGACTCCGCTTCCAGGCGGGAGCCGTGCTCTCCAGCGCTGGGACCGGCGCTCCAGACCAGGGTGCCCTAACAATGGCTCAGCCGGACTCTTTGTGTCCCTTTGAAAGGCGTGGGGAATTGGGTGACCAGTTTGATTTCAGCTTTAAAACATGGATAAGCTAGAGTGACATGGCAGTCAACGTATTCTGTGGGAACAGAGCAGCTTTGAACAAAACAGAGTCACTGTGGGGAGAGGAGGGGATGTTTCTCCTGTGGCCTGGATCCATAGACATTGAGGAGAGAGAGGTGCATAACTTTTAGATCTTCAAGTGCAGGAATTGCTTCTTCCATGCCCCCAGACCCCAGTGCTGGCCCGTTACCAGGTACAGAGTAAGGGCTCCACGGTGAGTTTTATGATATGTTTGAGGGAGGGACAGCCTCTCTACAGGAGGGCAAAGGTGGGGGAGAAAGGAATTACTCTTCCCAAACAGGACACGAGAGAATGTGCAACCCAAGTCAGTCTTTGGACTTTATGTTGTTTCTGTTTCTGGTGACAATGTATATTATTAGAAGACTTTTTCTTTTAAACCATAAAAAGATCATTTATTAAAGCAATGTTGTCCTATTGTTACAGAATTTACAATAATAGAAAGTGACAACTATTAACTTTGGTATGATTTCCTCCAACTTGAATAGAGTAAAAGTTTATTGAAGTTTCTATATTAAGTTATCAAAAATAACAAATCTTAGATTGTTCCTAATCTTTCCAAACCCTGCAAACACTGTACACACATGATTTCACATAATAATTGGGTGGAGACTTAGGAAATATTTTGTGTTTAAACAAGTAATTATATTGATTTCTGGACAGCTTAGTAAGGGATCTTAAAAGGAGCAATTGAAGTTAGCTATTTTGAGTCACCACCAGTAACTGAACTTACTCGTGGGACTTATCCTGACCACTGGGCTTAGCTTGTTTGAAAATTTGGGGTTATCCTTTCTATGCCAGCTGGTAACAGTATTGAATATGCTAGATGTCTGGCATAGAGTAGAGTTTCAGTGCCTTTTTCTTTTCTTTTGCATTAAATTGTTTCTGCATTTTATTATTTTATTTTTCAATTATGGTTGGTGTTCAATATTATTTTATGTTAGTTTTGGGTGTACAGCATAGTGGTTAGAATTATTTTTATAATTCACAAAGTGATTCCCCAATAATTCCAGTACCCATCTGCCACCATACTTGCTTATTACAATATTACTGATTGTATTCCCTCTGTTGTACTTTTAGTGCCTCTCGTTCCAGTTACCTGAGCCCTTGGGGGGATATGTGGTGGAGGACAGTGGCTCCAGGTTGCCCGTGAGAACATATTATTGTCCAGGCCAGCACTTCCAAAAAGGGCCATGTCTGTGATTTCAGAGAGCCATGAGATGGTGCAGTAACACATGACACCAAGTTATCATTGAATCATGTAGTGAGGGGGTAATTCCTTTTTCATTCTCTCTCAGTACTAGAAAGTCTCAGTGTGGTGTTAGCCGTATCTCGCTCACATTGCAATCTCAGTCTTGCAGGCCCCTGTAGCGCTAAGACTGTGTGTACCACTGACATTGCAGGATTATTTTTCATTCTTTCTCGTTTCTTCTCTTGTTTCTCATTTTCTTCCCTTTTCTTTTCTGTGCTACAGTCATCATGTGGGAGAATTTCCCTCAGATGTTTGCAGACCCTTGACTCCTTGACTGCTTATCTATATACTAGAGGCCCGGTGCACAAAATTTGTGCAGGGGTAGGGTCCCTAGGCCTGGCCAGCGATCGGGGCCCATCTGTGGGGCAACCGGCGGGGTGATCAGGGACCCCCACTGGCATCCACCTTGGCTGGCCTGGGGCCTGTGGGCTGGGGGCAGCTCCTGAGTTGAGCATCTGCCCCCTGGTGGTCAGTGCACGTCATAGTGACCAGTCGTTCTGCCGTTCGGTTGATTTGCATATTAGGCTTTTATTATATAGGATATAAAACCCTAGTATGCAAATAGACCGAACAGCAGAACAACCAAACAACCGGTTGCTATGACATGCACTGACCACCAGGGGGTGTGCGCTGAATGTGGTGGGCTTCAGCAGCAGGCAGCAGAGCATGGAACATGGTGGGCATCAGCTGCAGTGGGATGGTGGAGCAGGAGAGCGGGGGCGCCAGGGGCACCTATCGCTGTCATCAGGGCGAGCCTCTGGTGGTTACTGAAAATTCTTTGCTCCCACATGCTGTGGTCCCACCTGGCGCTCGCACCTGCTGCCGATGCTCGGTGCCTTCCCCGATCGCTCTGTGCTGTCAGCGGGTGTGAGTGGCAGCCGCCGGCCCCAATCACTCAGCACTGTCAGCGGGTGCGAGTGGTGGCTGCTGGCCTTGATCACCCCTCAGGGCTTCTCCACCTCCCCCTGCTCCTGAGGGGCGACCCGGGCCGGCATCCGCCTCTCACACCCGCTGCCAGTGCCAGAGCTGCCGCTCACACCCGCTGCCAGCACCCAGTACCAATCCTGATCGCTCAGCTTTGTCAGCGGGTGTGAGTGGCGGGTGTGAGTTCAATTCCTGAATCGGGTGTATGCCAGAGGCAACCGATAGATTGTCTCTCTCATGTCAATGTTTCTCTCTCTCTCTTTTTCCCTCTCTAAAAATGTTTAAAATAGGTGAAGCTTTTCAAAAGCTTGACCTTTTTTTTTTTTTTGCCAAATCTTAAGTTCCATTTCTATTACTAATCACCGTCTTTATATTCATCACCATCATCATACCCATCAGCATCATATCTATCACCATCATATCTGTCACCATCATATCTGTCACCATCACCATCATCATAACCCATCACCATTACCATCATATCCATCACCATCATCATTATGTCATTGCCATCACCATCGATACCCATCTCTATCATTATCTTATCCTTCACCATCACCATCACCAGATGAGCCCTTGCAGGGACTATTTTTATTTATTGATTGTTTTTTGAGAGAGGTAGGAAGGGAGAGAGAGACACAGAGAGAAAAAGAAAACATCGATTTGTTGTTCATTTGTGCATTCATTGGTTGATTCTTGTATGTGCCCTGACCAGGGATGGAACCCACAACCTAAGCACATTGGGATGATGCTCTGACCAACCTGGCCAGGGCTCAGGGACTATTCTAAGCTCTATACATTCTCATCTCATTTAATCCTCAGAGCAATCCTGTTCAAAGGCACAGTTATTAGCCAGTTTGGCAGAGGAAAACTGGAAGCTTAGAGAAGATTAATAACTCATCCAGGGTCCCAGAGCCAATAGGTGGTGGAGCTGGGATTCATATTCACACCCACCTGACAGGTCTGTGCTCCTGCTTACAGGCTCACCTTCAGGGCCTTTGGGAGTGAGGAAATGTGCTCAGACTTACACTCTCTCCTGTCCTCGTCCTTCCAGGTCAGCCAGGAGTGTTGGCTTTTGCCAGGGATCCTTGCTGTTCCTGAGCGCACTATATTTTCGAGTTGATGTTCTCACTTTCTTCATGCTCCTCTGGTCTGCACTGTAGTGTGTGAGGAATCTCTCCAAGGCTCTGCATGGGGAGAGTGCCGTGGTTTCTGGGGTGAATGCAGACTTTTCTTTCTTATAATAATTCCACTGTTATTTCAAAGAGGATCTGAGTGGCGGACCATATCCCCGAGGGCTTTCACTTTATCACTTAAGAATTGTTTCCAAACCCCATCCTTACAGTAAAGGGAAATATAATTCAGTTGGTCATCTCATGTTCACTTCTGGATGAGTGGATGCGATAACTCTTAGGAGACAGGTGGCCGAAATCTCCCCCTGACTCAGACAGCCCTTTATTTTCTCAAATATAAATAAAAGAATGATATGCTCTGTCTCTGGCTGTTGCACAGAAGTTCCATGAGAATACGTAAGAGGATCTCTGTAAATTTGTTTTTCTTTTCTTCAGATAGGATGAAGACCAGGAATCTTAATTATTGCCACATTAGCACACTGAGTGAACTTCATTAGAAATCATTCCTTTCTATCTGATCTCTTTTTGTTCACCTGTTCCTACCTTTCCGCAGAGGCTCCTGAACCCTGGGATGTTCTTGCTTACTTTAAGCAAGTGCATAGTCCAGCCAGCTACAGAGGGCTTTTATAGGGATCGTGGGTCATCAGTATTTCCTTTACAGTAAGCAGACTTCTCATCTCCAAGAAGAGTGAAGGGTTTGAGGAAATTTGCCAAGAAGTGTCTTCCACACTTGGTGCCACTGACAACTGCCCATCAAATGACACTATGGAACCCTATTCGCTGACCCCTGCTCACCTGTGAGTGCTGCTCACACAGATTCCTGCTCTGGGTATTTGCTCTGGTCAATTGAGTGTTTGCATTAAAAGCCCTGGAACTGAGTAGCTTCTTCATCCATCCTTACTAGGGCTCAGCGGTTCTCTCAGGGCCAAGTTTTGGAATATGCATTCTGGGACTAAGAAGCAAAGTACACGTGCTCTAATGCTTTATGATTAAAAAGTGAGTAAGTGAAGGGCTTTTAATATAGCCAACAGTGGAAAGTAAAAAATGACATGAAAATGGGTGATAAGAATCGATTGTCATTATTTTCATGAGAAGTAGTATCAGGCTGCTATAATAAAATGCCATAGACTAGGTGGTTTAAACAGTAGTCATTTATTTCTCATGGCTGTAGAAGCGGAGATTCTGAGACTAGGGTGCCAGCATGGTTGGCTGAGAGAGAGCTCTGGTTTCTTCTTCTATAAGGACACTAACTAATCCAGCCGTGGGCAAACTATGGCCCGTTTGAAATGAATAAAACTAAAAAAAAAAAAAAGACCGTATCCTTTTATGTAATGATGTTTACTTTGAATTTATATTAGTTCACACAAACACTCCATCCATGCTTTTGTTCTGGCCCTCCGGTCCAGTTTAAGAACCCATTGTGGGCCTCGAGTCAAAAAGTTTGCCCACCCCTGAACTAATCCCATCATGGGGTCCTCAGCCTCATGACCTCATCTAATTATCTCCTGAAGATACCTTCAAATACCATTGCACTGAGGACTAGGGTTTCAATACATGAATTTTAAGAGAATACCAACATTCATTCCATGCCAAATAACTTCTTTTATTTATTTTTTATTTTTTAATACTTTTAAAAAAGTTTCATTCATTTATTGATTTGAGAGAGAGAGAGAGAGAAAAAAAAAAACATGGACTTGTTCCACTTATCCATGCATTCATGGTTGATTCCTTTATGTGCCCTGACCTGGGATGGAACCCACAACCTTGGCATATTGGGCCATTACTCCAACTATCTGAGCTACCTAGCTGGGACCAAATAACTTCTTTTGAAAAAATGTTACAGGTATTTCTTTCCATAGGAAGATGGACGTAGGCTCTTTTTGGTAGATGCTTTCTTAAATTTGTCAAAGTACTTCCAAGAATGAAATTTCTGTGAAGTAGAGTGACCCTCTACTTCATGGATGAAGTGTGGGCATTCATATCTCACTCATGTGAGGAAGTTTCCCTGACCATCCTACCTAAATAGCATACCAGCCTGTTCACCCAGCACTGCTTTGTATCACACGTACTACCTCCCGACTTCTTCTGTTTTGT